GGTACACGCACCCACACAGAACTGCTGATACTGCTGCTGCTGTCTGCATCACCCTTCTTGTTGTTTGTGAGTTCAGGAGGAAGTGTTGTTGTTGTAGTAGTAGTAGTAGTAGTGGTTGTATTTCCTGCAACACCTGTAGTGTTTGTATACTCATTCTGTGAACCAGTGTCATCACTCCCAGAAGATGTTCCTCCGGTATTCTCTATAACTGAACTGCTGGAAGTGTCAGAAGGAGAAGAAGGTTGTGTGACGGTAGCTTCTTGTGGGTGTGTATTGCCCTGCGCATCACTTGTGCCTTGTGTACCATTACCCGTCTGAATACTCTGTTCGTTTCCAGGTGTTTGCACATTATCCGAACCATTGGGGTTTTCTGAGTTACCAGGGCTTACTGTTGCTGGTTCACTGTCAGAGTGCTCTCTGCTCCCTTCTACAGCAGCTTCTTCACGGCTTACTCGTTCTTCCACACCTCGCGAAACTTGTTCATCATCTCCTTCTTTCTTTTCTCCCATCAGTGGAGATGAATTCTCTCTATTTTCTACAAGGGAACCACCCCGATCACCAGGCGAACCATTAGATGAACCTCTAGACGTAGATGTAGTACCGTGACCAGGTATCTCTGAATTTGGACCTGGAGGAGATCTACTGTGATCATCTGCTTGGTTTCCACTTAATGAACGTTCTTGAGACGACCCCAGCGTGGTGTTTGGTTTGCAAGCTTTCTCCGTCGTTTTACCTTCGGCACCACATGTTTCCATAGTTTCTTCTTGCGCACTTTTTAAATGAGTACCATCATCCTGGGTCTGTACAGTAGCACCATCAACTCCAGTAGCATCACCTCCTTCAGCGGCTAACACACATCCGCAGACACAACAGAAGGAGAGAACCAACACACAGAGCACGTGCCTCATTGGTATCTGAACAGCTGTTGTTATTATTATCTGGTGGCACTACTCTGAGCAATAAAAAAAAGAGAAAACAAACACCAACAAAAGGAAATCATTGCTCCACATCAAGAAATATATATAAGCACACATAGAAAACAAACATAAATCCACAACAATCACTCAGAAAGTGTCCAATTAAAGAAACAAAACACACAATACCCAATGCTAAACAGAAACTCTCAATAAGCCCGCAAGAGAAACAATGATTTAATAAATTATACGTACGACCAAACAAGAGAAGAAAATACACCAAACTATAGCTCTTCATTCGTTGGTCAACATAGCAAAACATTACTTTCTGTGTAACAGTTATTATTATTTTCCTATTCTGAACAAAACAGAATACCAAAACGGTGCAGGGCAAAAGCACAACGCCCCAACAAACCACGCAAGCAAAAAACAAAGGTATTAATCATTAGCCCAATTTATCCAGTA